TATAGAGGGATTGACGAGGACATGATTCTAAGTACCTAATAAATTGAGAGGCCCAGAGAACAACCATGATATCACAGTAAAACACCCTCATGAAAGGTGACTGGTAATACTAGAAATACAAGCTCATGGTCTCTAGTGGATCTGTATAAGTGGCAAACTGCTACTATTGCAGACTTTGTCGAACTTGTAAACAAAGCATTGACTTTGACAAATGCAACAGTATAGAACGGCACATGATGCAGTAAAAATGTATCAAAGTGCATAAACCCACAATATTTGATATGATCCTATCAAAATCTACCACAAGCAGAAGTAAAACAGCCATCTCAACAAACATATATCCACTATAAGCAAACTCCAGAAAATCAAATGTGATAAGACAGTGAAAAGGAGCATGAACAATATGGTGAAAAGGAAAGAACATACCATTAGGGATATCCTTAAGTTGCTGTGCCTTGACCCTGTTATTATAGAATCAATAAACTTGTTGGTCAGAATCCCAACTAACCCCGGCTCCAACTCCACCCAGAGAAAGGGATGTAAATGAACAATAAAACATTCAACACAAAATTTCATCTTTCATTCATCAATAATGTATATAAATTATTTGAAGCACAAATTTTCTCCATTTGAAACAAAAGCGCCATATTTAAAGGGATTAACTTAATAGGCAGGCATACTTTATCTATGCAAATGTATATACCATTAACTGACATCTCATTCTATCCCAAAACCAAAAGTCCAGACACAGCATAAGATTTCCATTTATCATACCCTAAAGTAAAAAATAAGAACGAAAGCCACTGACCAACAAACCAGGCAAGCCAGTCAATGATCAAAACTATTCTAAGACCATTCGAGCCATCTACATTTGACCATAAAAAATTTCATACCAGAGAAACATATATACATGTTTGTTCAAAACAAAGACAATGGAAAGGCACTTTCTTTACCATTTTCCATTCATATCATCTCAACTCCAATTTCATACAATGATAGTGCCAACAAAAATGAAATATCACAATTTACCTTCTCAATGGACAATGGATTACTGGCAGAACTCCTTGGGGTCTCTGCCACCTTAAATCTCTACACCACTTTCCTCTCCCTCGTGGGCCTCTCGCTCCCGAGCGTCTGGGGCGATTTCAACTCAACAGTATCGCCTTTCATCTTTCTGTTTGGACCCTTCTTTTAACTTTTCCCAGTCTTCTCTTCATCTCCTTCGTCTTCTCCATCCTCGCCTTTGCCCTAATCTGCCTCCTATGCCTCCCCCTCCGTTTCCTCTTTCACTTCATTTTTTTTCCCTCAACATTTTCATCTTCCTCTGGTTCTTCCGCCTCCTCCTTAGCCTCGTCCGATTTCAGCTCACCGCAATCTTCTTCCACCTCCGATAGATCCTCCTCCTCCTGCTTCGCAGCTTCAGCCTTGGTGTCTTCTCTTAGGCCATAGATAAACCACGAGATTCAACGTCAGCGACTAAAACCCTAATTTGGGCGCTTGGACAGCAGAGCGTGCGCGACGAACCTAGGAATTATGATGTGATTTCGGCAGTAGAGAAAAATTTCGGTGAGCAGATATATACGAAAATGTTGCCAGCAAATAAAGTGAGTTGGGATTGAAAGGGCAAGTACATTTGGAGCCGAGATTTTTTAAAAATTTTCCATGAAATTATTGTTAAAAAATAAAAACTAGTATGATATTGTGCATATGCACAATTTGCAAACAAAATTTTACATTTTATTTTCTATGTGTACTAGCAGCCTCCAGTTGTGCCTTGCACAGCCGGCCCACTGTAGTAATATGTTATTAATGTTTTTAAAATTGTATTGTGATTTATATAATAAATGAGTCAAAAAAATGTGTTCTATTAAGCCATATAAAACATTTTATAAATAATTCATACGTAAACATCAAGATTATGTTATCTTTTCGCACTACTCTAAAATCAAATGGCAAACAATCCAACAAATAAGTAGATTCTTCCAAAAATAAATCTAGACAAACATATTTACTTGAACTGTGAACCCAAAATTCAAAATGCTTTAAAATTCTAAAATGTAGTCACCAATCCATTAAATCTATATTTGTTTTGTCAAGGACTTTTAACATAGAACTCCCAAATGTAGTGACCAATCCATTTAATATACATTTGTTATGCTAAGGACTTTTAACATGGAATGTGATATGGAGAGGATTGAAGACTACATTAATCGCAAAAAATATCCCCCAACAGACACTAAACAATAAAAATTTCATTTACCAAAAAAAGAAACTTTCAAGAACCACCAGGCTTCTTTATGACATGAATTGGTTCCAAATTCGTAGTTCCCTGCCAACATCATCCTCACTTGATCAACAAAAGATATTTTGATAGCAACAATGGCAAACAAATATTACACAAAAGCGATACGGAGGTCAAATTCAACACAAAACCATCTGACAGTGAAGACGGACTTAGAAGAAAAGGATAAATTATGCAGCAAAAGAAAATGATAAATTATGAAGCAAAAGAAAAAGAACCCATGCACTCCAGCTTATTTAAAGAGTACTTCCACTGTTTTATCATGACTTTAGCCTCATAACCACATCTACAGCTAGTTTTGCTAAATGTTCTTTATCCTGAAACATAATTTTGGAACTCAAAACAATCTTCGTCAAGTACAATTTGAACTTATAGGAAAGTGAAATGGAAGGATAATTCAGAACTCATGATAATGTTGATTCAATTACACTCCTAGGAAATAGCTGGATTTAATTATATGCACCGTTGGTCGCTCTTTTTATGTAAACTTTAAATGTAAAACTATTTTATTTTAGTTTCTTGGTTTCCTTTCTCTAAATATTTTTTTTTCCATTTTATTAAAACCATAACTACAACAGAAAATTAACTATTCATTTATTTAGTTGGCATGGGGAAAAAATGCGAACATCTAGTATACAAACACCGCTGGATACAAAAATTGATAACAAGTTCACTTGGTAAAGTAAACTATGACTTCGCAAGAGTTTTTCAATCATACAGAAAAATAACTGCTTTCAAGCATGATAAGCATAAGACGGATTTAATCACCTGCATGAAGTTTATTATCTACAATCTTCTCCAACAAATTTAAATAAGTGTTTTGAAATGAAGCAAAAAAGAGGATGAATCACTTGTAACATTTTGAATATTGGCTTTACACCACAACAATAAAAAATAAAATGTCATAATTGCAAGCACCAATATTCTAGTGCTGCCCAAGCATTGAAATGGCAACAATAGATTAACCAAATCTGTTGTTAAACAATCTTATATCTACACAACAAAATTTTAACAAATACATTATCACATGCCATTGTTTAGCTAACCTGGTAGCATAAACCAACTCCATGTCCAAAAACCCCCAAGAAACCGTTGCTGCAAGCACTTATATGACTGTTATGTCTGGTCATGGATAGCAATAGTTAGTATTTTCTTTGGAAACATATATGATGAGAATGTTAAAAAAAAAAGTTAAAAATGAAGGGANAAAAAAAAAAAAAAACAGTTTGCAACAAAGAAGATGAATATAATAATAACACAAAAATATGCGAAAAGGAACCAAAGATGGTAGTCTCGTCCAACTGAAATCAACTAATACAGCCAAAAAAACATATATCAAGCACAGACAACACCTGAGAAACTTATCACTGAACAACTTCAATCATCATTTCTAAGAAACATAACGAAAGCACGTTCTAATTTGTTATTCCATTATTAACACAGTTTAATGCCCCCAACAGAAACACCTTTTATTTTATTTTCTCTTATGTTTGATTTCAATATGTTTTAACACAACTACCAGCCACACAGGATAAATTTTCAACAGATCTTATATTAGCAGAAATTTTTACATCACCTGCGGCCTAACTGTAGGATGGCTCAAGATAGAGAAGGCTGACATGTTAGAGAATATTAAAACCAGCTATATTGAAATCTAATGTTTTACTATCCATGAATAATAGTTATGCAACAATTAAAGCATACAAACATCTATAAGTTGAAACATGCTTGGTCAGCTAAGAGCTCACTTTATCATTTTAAGCATGTTGTCCATCACAAGTTCACAACTTGCGCATTTTGAGAGAGATCTGTACGTTTAAAATAAAATCATTTTTGTTAGAATAAATCTATTAGGCAACATAAATGATCGAGATTCAGTTGAGGTCAGACCTGAGAGGCAAGTAGAACCCATTTTCTAGTCAGCTTTTCAGAATCCTCCTAACAACTAATCTATCGAAAAATGTTAATGATCTCCAAGCTCCGTTCTTTTTTTCTATTTTTGGTTGTATGATGATTGAGAATGGAATAAAATGAGCAATAAGAACATAAACATTTCCCATACAGATGCAAGCAATGCAGATAAACCCACAATAGCTGGAAATCAACAATATAAGAAAACCCCATTCTGATTATCCTCCTGCAAGTGATAAATGATTTCAGTTATTATATTTGTATTCCTCATTTGGATCATAGAATTATTCAGATAGAAATAGAATAAGTGAAACATACACAATTTTTTTAATGCGTGAACCACAGAGTGCTGACAACGGAAGGAAAAGGTAAAATAGCAGAACAATAATCGACAGTAAAACATCCCTCCCAATAAAACAAAGGCAAATAATCAAAGAACTTCAGAGCATAAGACTTCATATAATTCTAAAGGCATCAGGATTTGGGATGTTTAAATTTGAAACTCACACTAAGGATAATATGAAACCTTGAGAGATGTAGGACTGAACATTTCAGCTCAAAATCTGGAGGGAATTTCCTTCTTGCTCGAATTTGGTCACTAACTTCCTCGTCCTAGGGTTCGCCATTCACTTAGGGGTCTGTTCATTGAGGAAGGGAGAACGACAATTCAAACTTCGTCATCGAGATCCTCGCCATCAGTAGCCAAGGAGCCACTGACGATAGATTTGTACTGCGTCTGGCAGTCGGTGGTGATGGAGGACGATTGAGATAAAAAAATATTCCCAATTCTCTCTCTCGTCTGCGAGATGGAACACAAGAAATTAGCATCTTCAGAGAAATATAGAGAGGAAGAAAATAAAGGTATTGATCGCCCGCATTTTCATTCCAATCCATCTTTCGAACATCAAAAAATAAACTTTAACACACAAAAACAAAGTGACAGAGAGAGTGATATGTTTACAATAGCTTCAGAGTCACCGTCGACAGACCACCGAGTGATGTCCCCTTTCTGAATCTTGATTCTTGAGAACGCTCGACGGAGACAGCCATGGTGGTGTACCCTTTCTGAATCTTGAGAACGCTCGACGGAGATAGCCGCAGCTCCACCGTCCCATGGTTGTTTCTACCGTTCAACGTCGTAAAATACCTGAAGGCTATTGTCGTCCCACCTCATCCGCGACCCTCTTCATTCTCAAACCAAAATGAAATTCAATTCAGGAGAAAAAATCGCCGCGATTGTTTGTTCTTGACAAACTGGAAATTAGGACAGGGGAAGATGAGAAAAATTTCAGACTCACTTTGCCAAAAACAAAAAATGGACGCCGCTTACCTTATGGCTACCGAAATCCACCTTCAATCGGAATTGCTTGGTTGTCCTTTGTCTTCTGGGTAAGCGAAGTAGTATGATGGCGACGGTGGGAGCGGTTTTGAAAAAGATTAAGGCATGGTTGTTTATAAATTATTTCACTCATATTTAATTCATATTTCACTCATATTTAATTAAATAATACAAACCAATCATTCTTACAAATCACATCTACTTCAATTCACTGTTTATCCACTCACATAATTTTAACTACTTATCACTTTCAATCATTTTCAATTATTTATCTCTTACTTTTACATCAAATTAATTTTAATCATTTTATTTTAAATATTATTTTAATACATTCTTAAAATCGCACTAACAACTAACTATACCACCTTTCTCAAAATTAACTCTAATTAACCTAAATAACTCATTTTAGATGAATTATTTTGTAAACAAGCGAGCCCTGGGATGCTTGGATATAAGATTTTTTGGTTTGATTGATATTTTTATTAACAATGATTAATTTTGAAAAATGTGGTATTGTTAGTTGTTAGTGAGATTTTGAGTTTATATTAAAATAATATTAAAATAAAATAATTAAAGTTGATTTGATGTAAAAGTAGGAGAGAAAAGATGTGAGGTGATGATTAGTTAAAATTATGCGAGTGAATTAAAGTTGATGTGATGTATAAGAATGATCGATTGATATTATTTAATTATATGGATAATATTGAGTATATTGGGGTTGAGTTAAAGTTGAGTTAGATTTGAGTTAAAAAAAGTGATTGGTTAAAAAATGATTGGATTTTTTTTTTTTTTTTTGAGAAATTTTGTATCCAAGCATGCTAAGGGTTTCAGAAGAGTGGAACGGAAGAGAGTTGCCTCGAATCTTCTCGCTTCATTTTTCATTTAGCGAAGTTAAAACTACGTCGTTTTGAATACCTTCAGTTAAAAAATGGACACGTGTCATTCATTGAAGGCTATAGCTTCCTTTATATATATATAAGATAAGATAAGAGAATAGATGTATTTGTGTGTAGGATAATCTAAAATTTCACGAAACCTTACCAGCAAACCCTGTATGAGATGGATTACTACAAGCAGGACTTGTGACAAGTGTTAAAGTATATTCAATTCTATTGAATCAATTTTTATTTTTTTCATATTTATGTATATTTTATTTATGCACATACCTTGGGTGTGCGAAGAAGATGGTGCATTGCTATCGTTTAATTCTAAACTTCTTGTATGCTGCTTATATATAGGTTGGCTTCTTAACACTCGTCAATTGTTTGCGCCAATAGGATATTTATGTTTTTCAGTTCTTATTTAATTATGCGAACGTGTAGAAGTACAACTGGATGCATTAGGAACATTTTCTTGTAAATTAGATCCATGCAGTGTTGTGGTTGCTTTCTTTAAGTTTTTTTAATCTCCATCTTTCAATAGCATCTTCTTTATTTCTTTTTTTACTGGCTTGAAAAATTGCATTGTTTTCTGGGGGTGGTGTAAGTGACTCTTTGCCTTTGAAATTCTTCATTTTATTTGTTAAAAGAAGACACCTTTAGCAGAAATTGCTAAATGAGGAAGTCTACCAAATAAATTGCAAGCACAAAATATAAAGATCCAAATTGTTTATTCCCTAATCTTAAAGTTCAAAAGGTGACGACCTAGTTACCTAACACAATAGAAAAGGGCACAATATAGCTAAATTTATATCCGATAAGCTTTATACTTTAACAAAAAGAAAAATGTAATATAATAGTACAAACAAAAATTTTATATATATTAACAATTGAAACAAATAAAAAACAAAAGAAAAATAGGCAAATATGTACAATTAAACAAAATAAAAAACTGTAGTATAATTTTGCAAACTTGTAATAAATTTTTACTTACCTTAGCTTTCAACTGGCAAAAGTCTGGATGAAAGAGCGTCAAACAGTGAAGCGAGCAAGAAAGAGATATATCCTGAATCCAGTGAAGAAGGAAGTAATGAAAATATATCCAGGTAAATAAATTACAGTGAAAAGTGATTGAGTTAGTAAAGAATGAAGGCTATACGAAAGAGTAAATAAAGAAATCATATACTCTGCTAAAGTATAGGCGGCAAGTCATATATATGTTTGAGGACATGTATAAGTTCACAATTATCAGATACATAAATGCAAAATAGAGGCGTTTGTATAATTCAAGAGATTGATAATTTCTGAAAAGGTGAAATGTTTGATATACAATAAACCAATAGAAAGAACCTAAGCATTTATACAATAATTTTATTAAACTAATGACTTAGTAACATTATTGTATTAATGATATTAAGCAGCAACCAAACTTTTTACGACAGTCGTCGCACAAACTTCAACCAACAGCACTTGCATTATTAATTATAAATAGGAAAACAGGTGTCAACACTTTATACACTATTAGTGGAATGAATATAATTTTGTTAACAAATATAATCTATTTAAGAAGGTAAATAGTTATAGAAAATTTTATTATAGAAGAGTTATTTTGTAAGCATATAAATGTTATGTCACAAAACAAGTAAAACAGTAAGTGCAAACATGACAAGTAAAAAGGCCACAGGTCAGTTTATACTAAGCAGGTGCACTAAGATCAGATAATGAAAAACCAAAAGTAGAGCACTTTTAATGCCCTTGAGAAACATCAGAAGACTACTAATCTTTAGAACAATCCAAGAACATATTACTCCTTTAATAAAAGTTAAGAATCATCTTAAAGCAAACAAATACAATGAAGAAGTTCAAAGAAACTCAGAACTTACATCTCCACAAACGCAAAATAGCAAATGAAAAATGTAGATGAAAACCATTGATATATTTGTGTTTATCCTCTAATGAAATATATTAAAATATACTAAATAGCACTAAGCAATCAGATTTCTTCCAGAACATGTAAAGAAAATATAAAATACTATTATATGACTTTTAAAGTACAAATGAACGGCCAGATATTAACCACATGGGAGATTTTTTTACAAAAAGCTGCAGTATTGAAATGATTACCAATATCAGTCAAAAAATACTCAACTTGCAATACTGTAATCATTACCAACATCTGTAAAAAAAGATACTCAACTTGCAGAATGTATTATTATGGGTGTGATATGTTAAGTTGATAAAACAAAATTTGAACAAAACAATATTGTAATCAATTCTCTTATGTTGGACCATTCTATAGCCCAATTGTACTTTTAAAACATTGGCCCATTATACAATACAACACAAAAATACAAATAAAATTGAATTTGGAGCTAAAGAAAATTTCCCTGTAATTTCGTTGAAATTATGCTGAAAGAGATATTAGGTGGACTCATCAAATTGTGAAGCATTAGTTGCAAGATGAATCCATGAACCATCCATACCTCCATGCTAAGAGTCCTGAAAAAGACAAACATGAAAGAAAACCTAAACAAACTCAAATCAAATTGGATATAAATTAGGCCAAAGAAATAAAAAAATTACCTTCGAAGAAGAATACCAGGCCCTCACCACTATAGAGAACACACTTTTATTCCCTAACTATATTAATCAATCATCACTCCAGTTTAACTAACTAAATATATTTTGAAACCTGCTCTAACTATAGCAAAATGTATTGAATTGTCGCGCCGGCAATGCCATAAACTCACATCATACATTCAGGACACAATATATTGATGCGATACCATCATGCACTCTTTGACTACCAAACTACCAAATGCACAGTAACTGAACGATAAATACCATGAGTCGCATACCAAAACCATTTATCCATTTATAACCTAGCTCAAGTATAGCTTATCTTGAAATTGATCACTGGTAACAGCAGTAAGAAACTCATTTTTCTAGATATTGACAATGCCTGAATGTGTAAAGTTTCTTATACTTTTTCTATTAAAAAGAGAAATGTGAAGTTCCACTTTCTACTTGGAATCCCGATCCATGCTAAAAGAATACCAGGCAACGTACAACAATCAAGTAGATCACCAACATTCCTTCCACAATCAAGTAGATCATCAACATTACACAGGAACGCACAACATTACTCTACAAAAAAATTGAAGCTCGATAACAACTCAAACACTGTAATTCCAACATGCAGCAGAAGGTAACTCCATATTATTCAACCCGGTCATTAAAATTCGAAAGGTTAAAAAAAAATACTCAACTACACACAAACAAACTATCGGCGGGCCATGTTTTTCGTACCTGTTTGACGAATTTGGCAATGTGAGGCCCAATTCCGTCGCCGGGAAAGACGTTGGCACGAATTAGGATGGAAACAGATGCGGCGGCAGATGAGAAACTCCAATCGAAGAAGCTAGGTTTGCGGAGGAGGATAATCCACCGTGTCGGATCAGGGTGAGTCGGACTTCGCTGCCTTGAACAGGTGTCGACAGAGTATCGGTCGACCGCCATAGGCGAGTATTGCCACCTTTTCAACATCATTTATCCACCAAATTACATAAT